CCTCCTCCTCCCCGTCATTCGTCCACCCATCCATCTGTTGGTCTGCCTCTCCATCCGTCTCTCCCCCTCCTGCAGGCAGCGCTGCTCAGGATGTGTCGTCTTAACACCTGACATGGGGTATTAAAGTCTCTACATGTTAGAGTGTGTGTGTGTGTGTGTGTGAGCGATAAAGAGGGTGACGGAGACGGACTCCACCCCTCACACTAAACTCCGCGAGTATTTCAGGCATCGCCACCGGTTTCATTTCTGGCAGACAATTACCGAGCCCGGTGCGTCTCCGAGCGCATGCAGCAACAGGACGTGTGACGGGGAATGCTTAATAACATGCCGAGGTGCATTTTTTCTTCACTGTGGGCTCATTTTTCACCGCAAAATAAAGTCGTGCACCTTTGTGGAAACAGAACGACCACGACTAGAAGCAGAGGGGAGCTCAGAAATGTCCTCTGTGCAGTACGACGCAGTTATAACGTCATAAATCATAGACAACAACAGTTTATTTCATTGTTTATTTTACAAAAAATTTTAAAAAGACAACATGTTGAGCGTTTTCCCAACGAGCCACAGCTGTAAAAGAAGAAATGCTGACTCCACCTACAAGAGAATTGTTTTATTACTTTCGTCAGAGTCAGAAGTTTACATACACTGAGATGCCTTCAAACTATTTGGGAAAGCCCAGATGATGATGGCTTTGGAAGCACGGGGGAGGCAGCATCATCATGTTGTGGAGGAACTGGTGCATGAGGACAGAATGTGGAAATATTGACGCAACATCTCAAGACATCAGCCAGGACGTTAAAGTTTGGGCACCAATGGGTCTTCAGATGGACGATGACCCTCAGCATAGCGCCAGATGTTGTGGAGTGGCCATCCCAAAGCCCTCCATCCTGGAGAACATTAGTGGAGCAAGGAGGCCAACAAAGCTGACTCGGTTCCACCAGTTCTGTCAGGAGGAATGGGCCAGAACTCATCAGACTGTTGTGAGAAGCTTGTGGAAGGAAAACGTTTGAGCCAAGTCATAGAGTTTAAAGGCAACCAGATACTGAGGAGATGGATGGAAATTTCTGACTTTGAAGAAAGTAATAAAACATTCTCTCTCTCATTATTCTTTAGCAAATAGAAATAATGTTGGTAGGAAAACTTTAGTCTGATTTAATGTCAGATGGTGAGAAAAAAAAAAAGGTTATGCGTCTTTTTATACAGTAAACATCTGGTTTCAACCACAACACAGCCTGCAGTTCAACCTGGTTCAGTCAAACAGTCGTTGAATTTTTGTCACGTGATTGTTGGTCAAAGGCGAGTCACAGATGGCTTCACATTTCTGTAGTGGAGCGCAGAATTTTTTGGTTAACTTTTGGTTACTGCAGTTTGTTTGTTGTCCAATTTCTAAATGAGACGTTAAAAAAAAATCAATTAATTTTGATGATTTTAACAGAGAGATTTGGTGAACAAGTGGTTCACATGATTAGTTTGAGGACTGTCACAAAGGTGAAATTGATTGTTTTATTTCTGTTTTTTTACAGTTTCTTGCTGCGAAAAATTGTGTAATTTAAGAAATTAATTTTATTTGTTAAAGATAATGTACGTTTTTAACCAGCTGCTGGATGTTATTTCATGTCAATCAGCCTTTACAGACAATTCTGATCACAAAATAAGAAAAGAAAACAAAATAAAATACAGCATCCAGGTCCATAGACACAAACCAAAGTCATGGGTCTTGATAAAGATTCAGATTAATACAACAGATAATGAATAGTGCGACTGTTTGTGGATCTGTGCAGTGCCGGCGCCGGGAGGACCGGCTGTTTCATCGCAGTGGACATCATGCTGGACATGGCAGAGAACGAAGGAGTCGTGGACATCTTCAACTGCATCCGAGAGCTGAGGTCGCAACGGGTCAACATGGTTCAGACGGAGGTAAGAACCACGCGTCCGAACCGCGGGATGCTGCCGGGTTCACGTCGGGTCGTGCTGCCATGTTTTCTCAAGTTTACTGTTTGGAAGGAACGGAAAGTTATGCACGCTTGAATTTTTTCCAGTCGAGTGTGGAAACTTTTGATTAAAGTAAATCAGCAGCAGCTACTGGTGATTGAATTGGCTGCAGAACTTAAGACGATATAAGAATCTCTACAGTCTCCTCATCAAAATTTGATCATCGCACATTGGCTTACACTATCCACATTCCTAATGCATTTAGAAGTGTTTCACCAAAAGCATTTTATTTTTTTTTAGTTAAAAAAAAGTAAATTTCATTTGGTTCATCAGCTTTCAGGACGCTGTGTCTGCAGTCACAGGTGTATTAGAGGCATAAAAAGTCTCTCATTACTTCTTGCAGTCGTTTATCGTCCGTCCCGATCAGATCATTAATATTAAACATTTACTGAATAATAGATGAAAGTAGTACAAACACACACATACAGCACCAACACAAGCTCTTTAGAATTATGCAACGGAGGATTAATTACTTCCACTCATCGGTTGTATTTCTAGACTAAACAAACTATCTGGTAACGACGTCCTACACAATCCACATCATGCAGGTTTTTTAAAAAAAAAGTGATTTCTTGAGGTTTATTGTCCCCAAAACGTGGCGGATTTACTTCCAAAGTTCAGTCTCTTTGCCAGGCGAGGACTCGGGTTACCGACTATCCTTTACAGAGTGTCATAATTTGTTCTAATTTTGTACTATCAATCATTTTTAAAGAGTCGGCGTCTTCGGATGTTGGGTTTTTCATTTTGGAACAGAAGTGTTCATTTCTTCTCTAAGCTACCTTAAGCCGACCTAATCCATCCCGCCTCTGCATTCCATTTGTGCTACTGATGAAAAAAAAAAAAAAAACCCTCGCATATCCAAAAAGTCAACTTTTTTTTCCAGGAATAAAGAAAAACTGCCTCATTTTCAGACTGACAGCTCGAGCTCCGAGTATGAAATTGACTTTTGAATGGGGTTTTAGAGCCGCGAGGTTCAGTAGAAGTTACCCGGGGCATCGCGGCGAGTGTTTTCATGTGACAGCGGTGGAATGAAATCTGGTTTTATACGTGTGTGTGTGTGTGTGTACGTGCACGCTCACATGTGTGTTTTTATGCCTCTTGAAACCAAGCTAAATGCATCCTGCCCTGCCTTTTGAATATGTGTGGGAGCAATTTGTGTCAGCGCTGAAGCCGCTTGATGCTATTATAATCCTGCTCCGCGCAACACAAAGCAATTAATCTTTTAAAAGGCACAGGGGGGAAAGAAGAAGTGTGTGTATCAATGAGTGCTTGTCTGTTTCCGTGCGTGTTCTTGTGTGCATACATGTGCGTTTTCTGCATGCGTGTGTGTGTGTGTCGCTAGAGTAGGTAATGGCCGGGAGAGGTCATTTCAGTGATGCTTTTTAAACTCTCCTCTTCGCTCCAAGGGCAACAATTAACATTCAACAGAGAGAGAAAGAGACGGAGAGATAAAGCGAGAAGCAAATTGAAAAAGCGAGAGGCAGCAGACAAACACAAGTGTGAGAGGAAACCGGAGACAGAGAAATAAAAACCAAACCAAACACTGGGGGGGGAGGGAGGAGGAAAAAAGAACATAAGAACAATAGGGGTAGAGTTAAATTAACATGCACGGTGGCTGCTGTAAGTCATCGTTTGCTTTTAGCAGGCAAGCTAGTAGGTCGGAGCACAAAGAATGATCCAGAAGCAGCGCATGGCAAACCGCCGTGCCATTTTAATTCACTTTCAGGCTGCCACGAGAGCCCGAGCATACAAATAATGTATTTGCACGCACAAAGCAAACAGGAATTGTGCTCACAGTGGAATGTTTGAGTTTGCTGTTGACTTGTAAAGCCAGGAGATGCAGCCCGGCACGACTGCATCGTCTGCTCCAGAGGCGTCTTTGCTCAGAGCAGCTCGGGTCGAGTCCGGGCGGCCGCGTGCAGAATCAAAACCAAGCACCTGTTCTGCTCGGGAATATCCACATCTGTCTGTGATTTTAGTTTTTAAACGTCGGATTTCGCTCACGTTGCAGGAGCAGTACGTGTTTGTCCACGACGCCATCTTGGAAGCGTGTCTATGCGGGAACACAGCCATACCAGTGTGTGAGTTCAGAGCCATTTACTACAACATCAGCAGACTGGACCCACAGACGAACTCCAGCCAGATTAAAGACGAGTTCCAGGTGAGCGCACGGTGACGCAGACGCTCCTGTTTTGTGGGAACATTGACCCGACTCATTCTCTGGAGATTGAGCCAGACCTTGACCTCAATCTTAACCCTACAATCCCACCAATAACCAGAAAAAAACAAAACAAAATCATCTTTTGAGCTGTATTGCATTGTTGTTGCATCCCTCAGACTCTGAACATAGTGACCCCTCGGGTGCGTCCAGAAGACTGCAGCGTTGGTTTGCTACCCAGAAACCACGACAAGAACCGCAGCATGGACGTCCTATCAGCAGACCGATGCCTGCCTTTCCTCATATCCGTGGACGGAGAGAGCTCCAACTACATCAATGCTGCATTAATGGACGTAAGTTTACATCTCATCCCATCTTCTGACAACGCTAGAATTTCTATACCAGACTGTATAGCAGTACTAGAAAGTTCAGAGACGCTCTGATCTTTCGGCGTCGTTCGATTTATTCTGTGTTTCTAATCTTGTGCTCGCTTGTTATTCTGGCCCACATTAATGCTCCAGAGCCACAAACAGCCAGCAGCCTTCATCGTTACTCAGCATCCTTTGCCAAACACCATGGGCGACTTCTGGAGGCTGGTGTTCGACTACAACTGCTCCTCCATTGTAATGCTCAATGAAATGGATGCGGCGCAGGTACAAACACACAAACATGTATTCTTTTTTTTTTTCTTTTCCTCTCCTGCTTTCGTTTGAATCAAATAAGACCAGACGCTCGACAGCCAGGAGCCGACACGTCGACTGTAACATCACACGGTCTGATCAAGACACCCAGAGACTTGTTTTTTATGAATGCGTGCTGACAGATCTTGGAACTGAACCCAACTTGACAAGTGAGAAGGCTTTAGTTAGTTTTCCTTTTTCTTCCTTTTGTTAAATTACACCTCCGTTGCAAAACAAAAGAATACAACAGAGGACTGCTAAATCATGCAGCTATTCAACAATCCCTACACTTACACAAATCTCCAACAAATTTAAAAACGCTACATGAATAATCAGCCGCATTTCGGAATAACTCTGAAGCCGTTACCGGAGTTGACGGACTGCGCCAGCTGTTGCACGACTGCTGCTGCTACATTAATTTACAATTATACGTTTTGTCCCGTGGATTATAGCGAGCGGCTAACAGTCAACAACCTCCGTAATCAGTCTGGGTTTAAGGGTTTGCTCGTGTTCCGAAACCAGACGCCGCTATTTTATGTGCCACATCTGTTAAACCGGGACCTCCCAGAACCGTCGAGCTAAAGAGTGGGTTTAATTACTGTTGGACTTCTTTAATAAAGGGTAATTTCAGACATGTTGGAGGACAAAGCAAAGATGTTTAGAATAGGATTTTGGAAGATGGAGATACCTCATTTAGCTATAACCACGTAGTTCAGTGATTTTGAGACCTCACTGACAGCAAAAGACAGAAAAAGAAATAGAAATATCCCAGCGATAGTAATAGAAAGACATAGAGAAGCCTGAATCTGGAAGAAAAAAACAAAAAACCCCCACCAGAATTTTTAAAAAATATGCTTCAAACTGCACAAAACAGTGGGGCTAGAAATTAATATAGCCTCATAGTTTCCACTGTCTAATCTATTCTGCCACCACATCCTATTTTCACTGCTGCTTTTAATACTTTCTCACCTGATCTGGGTGAAAAGGCCTGTGATTGGTCAGACGAGATGCTCTAAAAACCTAAAAACAAAGACAAGAGAAGGTCTAGTTTCCTCTCAAACCACTTGGATTGCAATACGTTGACGAGATGTCAATAAAATACTGCTTACCTCAGCTTTAAGTTTATATTAAAGCTAGGGTAAGCTGTATAAACGATGCATGAACAATGTGATTCTTATTGCAAATGATCGATGTCAGTGATGATATCAGATGGAGGATGTGTTTTTTTTTTCTGTTGGCTGACAGTGCAGCTACACTTCAGCTAAGTATGTCCTGCTAATGTAGGCAGGGGGCGTCAATGCTGAGCTTGACTGACCATCACCCCTAATCGTTAGACCTCCAGAGCCTGAGGGCGGTGTCGGTGCCAGTAGGGGCTGGATGAGCCATCGATTCTTGTCACATCTCATTCTTGTGGTACTGTACTGACCGGTACCAGGTCCCACCTTTAAACCACCTCTGAGCTCAGAAAGGCTGCAAACATAATCAACACAGGCTGGATCCAGTCTCCCCGCCCACCCTTATTGATTGTACATTAGGTGCACATTCGGAGCTCATGTGTCCAGAAAAATGTGATCCTGAACGGAGTATTCCACACTTTCTTTATCAGACCAGTTTTTACTTCTAACTGAAATTAAATGCACCTGTTTATTTTCTCTCCCCCCGATCTCGTTGTTTCTTTTCTACAGTTATGTATGCAGTACTGGCCGGAGAAAAGCTCGTGTTGCTACGGTCCCATCCAGGTGGAGTTCATATCGGCGGACATCGACGAGGACATCATCAACCGAATCTTCAGGATCTGCAACATGGCCAGGGTAATCACAGCGCTCATCCTCTGCAGGTTAAGAAGCAGGTTGAAGGTTTAAAATTGGACGTTTTGCAGGCTGAGTACTGGTAGTTACATCAGCAGCTGCCGAACTTGGTTTCAAAACTAGCTTTGTCTTTATTAAGACAATGGTAACACTCTACATTAAGGTACCGTTAATTATAATTATTAGCAGCCATGTTAGTAGCATATTAAAGCACTTGGTAATCTCTTATTCTGTATCTACAGCTAAGCCATCAATCAAGAGTTTTCCCAATAACCTCCTAATTAATGCGAATTGACAGTCAGGAAGTTGTTGCACATGAATTAAAATTTTAAAATGCTTTGCCCCGTATGGGCCTTATACGTTGGTGGTACCAGAAAACTAATGTTTGTCTTTAACCAACACCGAATAAATATGGTTTATTCCAATGCAACAAGTGTTAATAGTGTCCAGAGAAGTCTAGACTAAGTCTTCCTAACTCAGAATACGTTCCTGATTTCAAAGCGAGGTGCCGCTCATAACCGATTCTCAGGTGGTTTTATGAACTCAGACAGGTTCCCTCCTCTTCACACTCCATCACGGCGCACAACTGCTGCAATCAACAGAGCGAATTCTTAAGTGATGAGTTTCACCGTGAAAAAAAGAAAAGAAAGAAAAACCCACCGGAGGTCTGCTCAAAATGCACAAGTTCTCCTTCCATCCGTCGGTGGAAGAACAAAGTCAGCACACGTACGGCGATCTCCTTTATTAATGGACCACTTCACAGATTTTCAAACACATCCAACTGAAAGAATTTTTTTTTTTTTAATTTTTTTTCCCCAAGTTTCTTCAAGGCTAAGAACAGACGTTCTGCCTCCAGTCGCTGTATAATTTTCAGCTGACGGAGCTTTTCGGCGCGTGAAGGACCACACAGGTTTTCTCTGGTGTGTTTGCGATCCTGCTGTGTGACGTGTTAAATTTAGAGTCATCTGGACACTGTTGACACATTATAATAGAGCATAATAATTAATTTCTATTAAGGGAGAAGGAAACCGCATAAAGCCCATGCACAACAACTGCCTTACTTATTATTAATAAGCAATAATTAGGAGGTTATTAAGTGAAAAGTCAAGTTAATGAAGCAGTAGTTGTAGAATATCACATGAGGCATTCATAATTACTTTATATTGACTAAAACAACCAATGTGCTACTTACATGCATGCTAATGAGCAACTCCATCCATCCATCCATCATCTATACACCGCTTAGCCTCACTAGGGTCATGGGGGGCTGGAGTCTATCCCAGCTGACTCAGGGTGAAGGCAGGTTCACCTGGACAGGTAACCAGTCTATCACAGGGCTACACTTAGAGACAGACAACCAAGCACACTCACATTCACACCTACGGGCAATTTACAATCACCAATTAACCTCAACATGTTTCTGGACCTTGTGGGAGGAAGCTGGAGAACCCAGAGAGAACCCACGCTGCACGGGGAGAACATGGAGACTCCACGCAGAAAGATCCCGGGCAACCTTTAACATAATATTACGATAATTATTACACAGGTTTGGGTTCCATATGGACCCGGTTTAATGTCTGTAATCTATCCTTTTTTTTAAAGCTTGCCAGTCAAACAGAATTAAGATTCAGTCAACACGGTGCTGCAGGTTTGTATTTTCAAAGCCAGCGTCCTAGCATACTTCCATTTCTCTGTTTTAAAAAAATCTACCGTAAATTCCAGACTACTAGCGCACCTGAATATAAGCCGCACCCACTAACTTTAAAAAGAAAACAAGTTTTGTACATATACAGGCCGCACTTGTCTCTAAGCTGTAGGTGTCCACGTTGGAACATGAGATATTTACACAGAAAGATTTTTTAAACTTTTAATTAAATACGTACCGGTAACAAACACAAATGCTTTTTTCCAAACAGTGCCTGTAACACGGCTGGTTAAGAAAATAAAAAATACAGCAGCCTACCAGGAAAAGTCATTGATCGCTATCTTCATCTTCTTCTTACTTCGTCACAAATCCATAAATTAGCCGCATCATTGTTTAAGCCGCAGCGTTCAAAGCGTGTAAAAACAATAGTGGCTTATAGTCCAGAATTTACGGTACTCCCCTGGTGATAATAACCACTTAAACTAGGAGCCATGAACAGGTAGGAGGCTCCAGGAGTGCATATTTAAGCTACAAATAGTTTGATATTAGGCTTTTTTATGTAGTTTTAAATACATAATCATGGAAATACTTCATGTAATTTAGACGTGGAGCAGAATTCTGGGAGTTTTATTCTTGACAAACTAGTTTGACACAGAGCGATAGATGGCGGAGAAATATACCCAGCATCACATTAAAGGTATTTTCTCATTTCATGTGACCTTTACTTCCCTCTAAACAGCTTCCGAGATGATGCTGCAGTTAACCAATCATCGTAATGTCACTACAGCGGCTAACTCAGGCCTGATTTAGTCGCTTCTCTATGGAAGGGGAAAAAAAAATGGCGGTGACGGAGAAAAATGGTGCAACAACAACCTCCCCGTTGTCCTTCCTCGTGTCTTCTCCCACCTCTCCCCTCTTGTCACTCCTCCCCACCCCCCCTTTCCGTCCTCCCCTCTTGCCTCCTCTTGTTGCTCCCTTCTCATCTCATTTCCTCACCCATCCATGACGGTACACCTCTAGTGGCGCCGTGGCGTCGGCATGCTCCTATAGCGCTCAGTGAACTCCCCACTACCCTACTCTCTATACTGCCGCCGCCGCCGCCGCCTCCCTCTCCCTCTCAAACACATCACCGGTCTAGTGTGAAATGGCTCATATCATCGCCATAACAGCACATCTCACACTGTGAGAGCAGCTCCAACCTGGCTGAGTCGCTAGCGCCGACCACTAAGCCATCAAATGAGGAGGGAAGAGTGGGAAGGTTGGAGAGGGGAGATGTGGAAATATACAAATAGGAGGAAAACAAGAGGGCAAGAAATTTAAAGTTGGAAAACTGACTTGAAGGGAAAGAGGAGAAGAAACAGCAACACAAGAACATGGATGTAAAAAGAAAACGTATTTGTTGTGTGTATAAATGTCAATGTGCATATGCATGTGTGGCAAACATAGCAGTAAATCAGTCTGACAGTGATTGCGGGTTTTGGTATTTTACATGGCGGATGCCAACCGCCTTGGGCCAGAGGACTGAAAACATGCCACGTCTGCCATGAAATTGAATTTAACATTATAAGCTATGGTCCTTTGTTGAGTCCAATCCTGCCTCTTTTGAAAACGCATTTGTTCAAAAACAAGAACTAATTGGAGCACAAAAGCCTGCTATCACACACGCACAAAAAAAAAAGAAAAGTGCTTTATCAAAAAGTGCATTATTACCAAATGAGACGATTCCCCTCCGGCGCCGAGCAGACTGGCAGCTTCCACCTAAAACAACTTTGTTATCTTGTTTGTCCAGAATGTTTCTTCCCGCAACTTTCTCGCTTGTTTACCAGCTTCAGGCGTTTTAGATTTACTTTCCAAAGGGGAGGACAGTGGGGTCCATTGTTCCATTGCTGTTGAATTCCTGCGTGATCTTGATTGTCGCGATGATTAACGATCGTCTCGCTTCAGCCACAGGACGGTTACCGCCTGGTGCAGCACTTCCAGTTCATTGGCTGGCCGGCCTACAGGGACACGCCGCTCTCCAAGCGCTCCATCCTCCAGTTGGTCCGGAGGTTGGCGAAGTGGCAGGAGCAGTATGACGGAGGGGACGGGAGGACCGTGGTGCACTGCCTGTAAGTTACGATAAACAAAAGTTCAGAAAATAGTAAAGACATGCGAGTCAGAATCAACAAAAAAAGGCTCAGATGTGTCCTCAGAGATCCACTTATCAATGATAAAATACATTTCTCCTTAAACCTTTAAGACAAAACAAACGTCCACACGCTTTCACAGAAGCCTGGATATGCATCTTTAAGATAATACATAAAACAAATGGTGCTTCCAGGTACGTACGGTGCTTTATTTTACCCCGCTCATCTGTCAAAAACATTTATCTCATGCTAAAAAACCCCATACATATCCACTGCTGATGTAAATGTTTAAAAAAAATCTGCTCATAAATGCTATTAAAGCCGGTCCTAATTCACTTAATGGCAACGTAAACCTGCCTCAGAGCTACAAAAACGTCACAGTTGACATATTACAGCATCATTTTAAATTAAAAATCCACTTGTGATATTTAGATTACTGTTTGCATTCCTATGATTGCTCTGTTTTGTTTTTTTTTAACACACTACATGCGTGCACATCTCCTGTCTGAGCAGAACAAATGAAGCTGATAATGAGGGAGGGGAAACAGACGCTGCAAAATCTATAGAAAACAGATTACCGGGGAACTTCACTAACAATAATACGCGCACACACTCTGCAAACATCGCCTCCAGCGCATCGCTGATGCTCATCCAATCAGCTTGCTCTGTCACAGCTCATTGGACCAATCAGAAATGGCATTGATTTGCTTTTTTTTTTTCTCTCCCTCTCCTCCCTTTCTAGCTGCTGGGAAGTTTTGTTTGCTTTTCAGTGTTTTTGCAGGAGAGATGAAGAGAGAAATGAAAAGCTTAAATGAATATCTTAAATAATTATCGATGAAAGGCTGCTGCATGTGAGAAGAGAATCAAAGTCGCTCGAATGTTGAACAGGATCCAGTGTCGCTGCTCGTAGGGGAAAATATCATCGCTGGGAAAATGCATCTGCTGAGCCGTTTACACATAATCGATGTTTAGAAGCGGATTTCTAACGGGAATATGTTTAGTGACAGAGATGCACATCCCCATCCTCTGACCTCTAGTTCAGATCAATCCGTCACCCATAGCTATCGATTCCGAGGGATAAACTCTATCCGTCACTCTGAATTAAACATCCGAATCGACTCGAGAAGCTCCGATAACTAACTCAAATAAAACGGTGCGAAATTTGGCAAATAAATCTTCCTAAACGTTTAAGTTTGCTCGACCCCCCGGCGAACGTGAGTGACAGCCATGTAGGCTTTTCTCTGCTCCTGGCTAAAGACAGCTACACTGGCTAATCAACCCCGGCTATTGATTTCACAGACTCAGTAATACCAGCGATAAGGAGAAACATGATGGTTCAATCAGCAGCTGGTGAAAATGGATTATTTTTCCCGCTCTTCACTTGTCCTGGAGGTTGGAGCCTGATGGGTCTTTAATGCCGAGCACATGTCTCATTTTCAGCAAATAACACAAGGAGAAGCTTTTGGAAAACAGCGAGGAGCGGCAGACTTGACAATCCATCTGTGCCGTATTTATTTATTTTTTTTAGATATATATTATAGATAAAGGTGAATAACAACCAAAAAAAGAAATATGGTGCTGTCTCACCCCATCAAACCCCTAAAATATTCACAGCATGTAACTCCTCAGATCTGGAATAATGAGGTTCAAGTTTGTCACAAACAATTTAGATCAAATAAAACAGATCCGTGGATTTCACACAGTTCTCAAGCAACGGCTGTGACATCGTTTTGCTTTAGAAATTTCTCTGGGAAGTAAACATTAGCTCTATAGATAAAAAGTGAAAGACACCCAGATGGTCTAAAAACATGTTAATTCTAGTTTATTACGATTTGCATCTACTTCCTGTGAGGCTCCTGTTAGATATGATCACACAAACAAGCAAACAGCTTAATGAGGAGGTGAAATAATTGCAAACATTTAACAGACAAAGTGCAAGTAGAGGTCGAGCAAGTGAAAGTTAAATCAGGAAATGAATACGTTTAAGGTGCGATCAAACTGTTCCTGCTGTGCAAGAACAGAGCGCAACACGCTCAGGAAACAGGTGCAACCGGCAACTTTAGTGGGTCAGAATTCAATCAAAATCAGGATTTGTGTTGCAAGTACGCATTTGGGATTTCACTCTAGACCTCTGGAAACAGCGCCGTGTGTAAAACTTCAAGGATCTCTGGGAACATGCCTGAGATAATCCAACGTTCACGTCAAGGGCCATCGGTGGCAAAAATCAGGACTAAGGTCAGCAGAAGAGCCCAAAGAGCCAAGACCAGAGAGTCAGGAGTGCACCAAGACATTCATGGAGTTATGCATCCCCGATTCATCCTCCGAGATCACACTGTCGACAGAAAATTCTACTGTAACATCATGAGGCGTCTCACTGAGAACATTCGGCCCAAACAACCTGACATAATGTCAAGTGGGTGCTCCGGTATGACGACACACCGACTCCCAACAGCCAAACCAACACAACCATCGCTCTCCACCCAATCTCTCCGTGACGTCTTCCTCTTACCCAAAATGAAGTTGAAGAATCACCATTTTGACAAGCGGAAAAGATTCATCGTGTGTCATTCATGGTGTTTGATGCATTACAGAATAGAACTTCTAAGTGCCGAGTGTTCCTGCACAAGGAGAACACTTTGAAATCGATGATGGACAAATTCAAATTAGGGACGTTTTTTGCTTCTTATTGGTGCCGACTCTGAATTTTTTGTTCATTGCCATCGTCCCAGATCTAAATCATTAATCAATTATCTTTTAACCAAGAGAAACCAAGTCTAATGAGCCAAAATTATGATTTACTCATCTTGTGAAAGAGTTTTTGGTCACTACAGAATCAAACAAAACACCATCTTATGAAGAGTTTAGGTTGTCTTTCATTGCCACTAATCAAATACTAAACCATTACCACCAGTTTGGAGTCAGTTCCAACCAATGAAAGCAGCCGTTTGACCCAAATGGTCTTAAAAATACGCCATATTCACACTCCTGTGACCAAGCAGCGTAAAGGCGATTGTAGATGTAAGAACCGGCTCAAAAATCACATTAACTTTTATTTCCTTGTCGCCGTTACTTTTCCGGCGAGCTGGTGGTTGTTTTGACTGAAGCAGCTCCGCGGCTGACGCTCACCCACCGAGCGTAATACACCAGCAAACACGTCTGGTGGATTTCTACACGAGCTGCTGGAGTTATTCAGCAGCCCTGACCCTCAGCGCCACTCGAGTCCTGACCCGTCTGATTTTTATCGGCTTCGCTGCCGGTTGTTCTTTGGTAATTAGGTTCATAATATTAATGTATTTTAGCCCTAAGATGTATTTGACAGCACTGATGTAAAATGTATACGCTCTTTTTTTTTCCTCCGCTACCTAGAAATTAGGCTTGTTTTTTCTTTTTACGCTGAAGCAAGCAAAGCTGAAAGAAACATGAAGGCAGGATAGAAGTGCAAAAGTCATTCTCAAATATTGATGCCCAAACGTACTGCAACCCGAGGTGTTTGGAACAAAACCTGAAAAATACTCGTTCACGAAGTTGTGAGCAAAATACACCTTAAATCATTTGTCTGGTGGTAAACAACTATTTTCTACTGTTTATTCGAACCTCCTTTGGCAGTTTTTAAATCATACACGTTGACCAACACATTGGTGGCGACGCTACGCGAGCCCTCCTCGGTTGGACGAGCGCGCCGCGGCGGTCCTCGGCCATTACCCATGCAGAGTAGCTAGACAGTGGATGATTTCTGTGACGGCTGCCACTCCACCTCTCACTACCCTGAATGTTTTATTCAGCCTGAATACTGAAGGAATTCAGCTGGAACCAGGTGAGATGGGAAAGTCTGGAGCTGTTTTCATGCTGGGTGGTCTGACTGCTGACTGGCAGAGCGCTGGCTGCTGATTGGGGCTCACAGCCAGTAAACACACCATGCAGATACACACAAATGTGTTTGCAAAGCTGCACTTTCATCCGTTTCAGCCCTTCTCGCCGAAGTCTTTTTTAGAAAGGCCAATTTAAGTTGTATTCAAATGTCTTAAATCCATTAGCAGATCTCTTATTCCGTTTTCGTCGGGAGCGGTGACGGCTTTCTTTGTGCTGCGTGTTCGCTCTGTCACTTACTGTCAGTCCTTGTCTTAACCCTTATTGTCATTCCCAGTAGTATTTAAAATATAAAGTCTCTAATTTGACTTTCCGAAACCCGTATGTATTTCAGAGCACTCTTTGAAGCCTGTGCATTTTTTGTTCTTTTCTTACATAAAAGCTTTGAGAAACAAGATAAATCTGTAATATATGTACCTGTTTTCACAACAAAACTCGCTCTAGACGGCCGTTCTACAAGAAATAAAGTTGAAATTTGACAAATCTGAACCATTTTTCTTGTAACATGTCGTTGTATTGAGTCTGAATTTGTCAAAATGTGCCTCCTGATGCCAGAAACCACAGATAATGAAAGATTAGAGACGTTAACGACATGGGTTTAGTCTTTCTGCTGCTGTGCACTCGCGCTAAAACAACTACTGTTCAATCTCTACCTTAAAAAGTTTAAACAACGAAAAGCAAATGAATTCCTGTGTTATTAAGTTTAGGGGGTCACGGGATTTAGAAGTGTTATTTAAAGGCTGACACGCCATCAATCTTAGAGGCAAAGCAGGAAAATAACTCAGACGGAGAAACACCTGAAAGCAAACCGTACGTTTTATGATGTTTTAAACGCTGCCGTGATCCAGTGAAAGAGGAGGAAGTGAGCCTTTGCTTTCTGTCTGTTTCTACGCTCAGTGGGATGATTTCACTCACCCAGGTTTCCACAATGATGATGATGATGTTTGATGATCTTCCATCTCTTTCCTCCCTCCTCCTCCTCCTCCTCCTCCTCCTCTGCAGTACCGGTGGAGGGCGTTCTGGAACGTTCTGTGCCATCTGCAGCATCAACGAGATGATCCAGCAGCAGAACATCGTGGACGTTTTCCACACCGTCAAGACGCTGAGGAACAACAAGACCAACATGGTGGAGACGATGGTGAGGACTCACAACAACACACATACGTATTTTACGAGGTGATGAGGACGATTTCATGGAAGCGCTTGAGGAGTTCACCAGCTGTTTTCATTCTCTAAATACCAAGCTGGGATTTAAAGACAACCGGGAACATCTAATCCAGCTTTTTAGTCAGTATTGATTTTCCTAGTTAAGAGTTGTATTTAAAAAGGAACATGATGGGGGATTTATTTTATGAAATATTTAGCAACTCACCATCGTGTAGATCAGGTTTGGGAAACAAGGACTGATCCAAAATTGGTTCCAAAAATTCAGATTCCAAAGTTTCATTGGGAAATTTCAACTTTGATTCTGCTCGTTGGTTCCCCCTTTTTTTGTTGTTGTTTAGAATTAGAATAGAATAAAACTTAATTGATCCTTTCAGTACAAAACCTCAGGGAAATTGCTACACCAGAAAAAAACGACACAACACCAACATAAAATCAGCAACAACAACAACAGCATTCAAATTCAAAATCAAAATCTATGCTAGTAGATAGTTTATGTTTTTATACTATATATGTTGATATAGTTTATAGTTTTTGTACTAGTTTATGCTAGTTTTGAATATGTACCACAAACACTGCAATTTGTCGGCTCAACTAGTCATGCGAGTTGCATCCATGCATCTTCCTGTCAATCCCAAGTTCTAGCATCATTTAACCGGCATAGCTGTGGCTTGATTAGCAGGCAAACAGCACTAAATTGTTGCCTAAAATTTGCAAATTTCATGCTACGAAATGCTTCACAAGGATGGAAATATGTTAAGGCGATGACCTTATCCAGCGTCTGTGTTTCTACATCTATCTGTAGGAAGTTCTACATCACTCCGCCACAGTGGCCTGAACGGGGACTGACTTTCAGTAACTGTCGGACTTGTCGAGGCTTTTTTCACAGCTCAAACTAAACTAACTTCTCTGCCCTGATAGCAACACTTGACTGTGACTGCAGCACTGTTCTGGTCACACGCTGGGCCGGACTCACTTCACACAACAAACCCACCGGCCTGCGTCACCCACTTCCTTTAAGAGGATGTGCAGTCAGGCTGTGGGTGTGCGCTTTTTAGGAAGGATAATAACGATTATTAATTCGTATAATTATGAGGTGTTTGTTTACGTCGGTGGTGGAGGAAGTAATCAGATGCCAACGTGATGCTGCAGAGGGTAGTGAAGCGAGTTTAGGCAGTCTTGATAGGCATGATAGTTACTGAAAGTCCTTTTTTTCCCCTCAAACTAATCAAGCAAACGATTCCAAAAGTCGGTATTCATTCATGGCTTCACCCTGGATTCCGTCTAACCCCGTCTGCTGCCACCACACGGACCTCTGCTGCTCTTTGTACCGTCTCACCTGCTCTGGGTCAAAAGACCAGTGATTGGATAAAAATCTCCAGTCGCTGGACAGATTTTCTAAAAAAACCTGAGCCAAGAGTCTAATTTCCCCTCAGACCGTGTGAATTACAAAACACCAAATGGTTGCTTACTGCAGTTTTACCCACACAATCTGCACGATTCCCCTAAAGAAGAGCAGCTCATAGGTTAAGACCATCCATGATACAAGATGGTCTGTTTTATAGATATACATATTATAAAGGCTAGATGTCTTGTCCACGCTGTCGGCCAATGGAATCGCACGGCCACACTGGCGGCCATCTTGGTACGGTGCACTCGCTCACCCATAGTGTTGTGTTGTAGTGGTGCGTGTACTTTTTAAATAACCATCAACGGTTTGGTTTGTTATAAATGTCAGAGGCGTAGTTATAACACTGCACAGATGTATAATTATGTTATGCTCTGACGGCCAGCAACAATTTTAACTATTCTGTATTTTATTTGTACTTTTGTCATTTGAATTGTAGCCGCGTTAATAACGTTTGTATCATAGACTGTATAAAAGATGGACGTAGCTACCGCGACGTCACCCGTTGGTTTCTGCACTGAGAAAATGAAGCCAGGGTTTTGCTACTTCCTGGTTGACATCTTGGATTTTTGGAGCCAGTGACGCAAAAATCGTGGGAGGGGGGCGGAGCCATAGGAGCAGCGATTGGTCAGACGGATTGAGAGGCGGGCCCTCTCTGCCCCGCCCACATTTACCGCCTTCTGCTCGCTTCGTCTGCATCGTCGCTGCCGACTGTCAATCAAGCCAGCCACGCCCCTTGCCCCGCAAAATGTTGATTTTTTTAAAAATTCAGTATTGATTTATTTTCAGATTGGCCACCTGATCTCTGGATTTGACCATGAAAACTAATAAGAAAAACATCCTGAGCTGTAGGAATGCAGTATTTGGTGATCTGTGATCACTTCTTTTCCAATTCCAGTCTATGGGAGCCAGGGCTTTGTGGAGCCAGCAGCTAGTGGACGTAGTGATGCTGCAGGTTTTTGACACTTCTGGGTTGGCTTCATTTTTCAGGGCCGGTTGCTACGTCCATCTTTTATACAGTCTATGGATTGTAAGAAACCAAACTGTTTGTAAATCCGTTAGGATGTCAGCGAGATAAGAGTGTTTACGTTTGTGCAGATCACTCACCTTCCTCCACGTAGCCACAGGTGAGGTCAAGATGGCCGACGGGTGATCCCGCCTTAAGACATCCAGCCTCTATTATACATATCTATGGTCCGTTTGTCCAACTGGGATATTTGTGGCTATTGGATTCTAATAATACAGGGTGGGAACACGCACAGTTTATCAACCATTTAACCTCATATTAAGTTTGTTGTCTTTCCTGTCTGCTGTCTGTTGATCTGTTTCCTGCGATGAGTACATTCGTCCTGAAGCCTTTTCCAACATTTGAGAATTAAGACATCGTTTCCCGTCCGACTCACTCTTTCCCTCTGTCCCGTTTCCTCGCAGGAACAGTACAAGTTCTGCTACGAAGTGGCTCTGGAGGCGCTCAGCTCCTTCTGATCGGCCAAAATTCTGCAAAGAGGGGAAGGAAAAAAAAAAAAAAAAAAGGCGGAATTCGGATTCGCCGTCGACGCTGCCTGTCATCCTCAACGCAACACCGGGACACGCAGACAAACAAAAAAAAAAACACAAGAAATGCTTTGCGTTGAGCCGAATCCTACCTGTGAGCATGTATGCCTGTGTGCGGGCGTGTTGGAGCGCGTGTGCACGTGAGCGTGTGCGAGAGTGGGCATGCTTGCATATTTGAGCGTGTGTGCATATCTAACTGTATATGTGTGCCTGTGATAACACACACCGACACACACACACCGACACACACACACTCACACAGACAGACACACAACCACCTGTACAGAAGAAAAACAACAAAAAACGGACACACTGGTGATTTTTTTTTCGTGTGTTTGCTTCAGCGAGACTTGGGGACTTTACATGCTTGTACAAAGATTAAAAAGAAAAAAATGATATGTTTAAAAAAAAAAAAGAAAAAAAGATCAGATGTTTAAAACGAAGCGCCACTTTTTTTCCTTCTCTATCTCTCTGTCCTCTCTGCTGGGCTGTGATGTGACTATTGTACAGTATTTCCTTTTTAGATATATTCTACGCCTTGAATGTTGTCTCCCTCTGAAGGCTGGATGCACACTGGAAGATTCTTTCTTTTAATTTTTATTATTATTTTTTTTATTTTGGTGACTTTCAAATTGAGCGAAAATGCTTGTTGACCATGACTCAGTTAGCTGCTGAATCACAGCAAAGAAGAAAAAAAAAAAAGAACCACTTGTCAGTATTTCTAGCTTCTTTTTTCTCTCTCTTTGAAATCACACACTGATAAATTCCCTCGCAGCTACTGCCGCTTGTAAAATGGTAAATGTCAATGATACTTGTAATTCTGTAATTGGCTGGAAAGAGGAAAGAAAAAAAAAAAATCTCAGCATGGGTTCTTTTTCTTCACACGCTGCATCAAAAGGGGAAAATCATTTGACAGTTTTTCTTTCCTTTTTTTTTTTTTTACTGGGATCAATTGTTACAAATAAAACTGAGAGAAAAGTCGCACATTACAATAAGTGGAGCCATTGTGAAGAATATCAACAGACGGATGAAAATCACGCCTTACCTCCAGTTTCAACGCCGCTCCGGATTTTTTATTTTTTAAATTTTTTTTTGTCTGACTGTAAAACAAAGAATTTTTTTTTAAAAAAGCCGGCTTATTGAAAACTTGTCTTATAGTGTGCATCCACCCTTGCTGTAAATAAGATAAGACAACCACAGTCAAACAAACAAACAGACAAACAAACATCATGCACCAGACACATTTTACAAGTAAACGCTTATTTCGAAAAACGCTCTAAAAACGCCGTGTTGACGTCATTTTTTTTTCAGTCGGTGATTATAGTTTGGAATAAAAAGTCTTGTGTTGCTGCAAACTGTCCACTTTAGACATGTTGTCTAAAATATTTTTTTGCATATTGCACATGAAGCCGGTTCGTCTCCCGCGTTCAGGGTTAATTATTTGTTAGAGAGGAGTTTGGACTGAATTTGTGATTCTCTGGGTCCGGAAAATGTCTCACAATGCATCTCTAATGTGTTAAAATATAATGTTTGGGCTCGACAAAAGAAAGAAAAATGTTGTTACGTTAGCGCAATTAGCTGCTCGTCTAAAATCAAACCAGACTTAAGTGGTAGCTTGACTTGAAATGTTAAACTCAAGATAAAGAGAAATTCCGTTATCAAGCCAATTTGACTTAAACTTCAAACCAACTAATGCGAAAAGTTGAGTTTAACTTAAGCTTGATGCGATTTCTAGCGTTATTAAGTCAACTCGTCCAGTTATGCTTGCAAATGAAATACTTTATTTAAATTAGATGCTTTTTTTGTTTTGTTTTTTTAAATCTTGCAACCATGCCTTAACTTAAGTGATGGAAACAGGTCCATTAAATTACTTTCTAGAGCTGCATTCAAATAGATAGTCGCAGAAAACGGCCACTACAATCGAGCAGCGTTAGCATGTGGGAAGCTGTAAATAGGAAAACACCGACAGTTTGTGAGCAGTTTTGCTGCAGGTGTAGATGGAGATCTTAGTCGTTGAATAAAAAGGATTGTGATGAAATTGATAAGCTTGGTTAAGTGTCCTTGAGTTCGATGGGATCCATAAGCCATGCTACGCTTCCTGTTCATACATCCTGGATAAATATCAGTTTTAAAAAAAGAAAAAAGAACGAAGCTTCGGGGATTGAACCTGCGATCCGCCATGTATCATTAAACTGACAACACAAAGACAAAGAGACGGGTCACGTTTACTTTTCCTCTGCAAACAAAAGCCTCAAATTTGCTTTTCCGCCAAACCCGTTGATGTGGAGAAAAAAAGAAAAAGAAAGAGGTAATGATTCGAGAAGCGACCACGTCTAATAGGAAATGATTTCAGTTAGCGGTTGACCCCCAGGGTGGAAACCAGTCAACACGGCTGACGGTTCAGATGCCCCCGAGCAGCTCCGGGTGGGAGCTAATGAGAATTACACCTTGCGACGCTAACCTCCGCATTAGCTCTGATCGGGCGTTTGTCTAAACCTCACGGATGCATTTCTTCTTCTGAACGGAGTCAAAAGAACTGTGATGACTTCTTTTTTTTTTTTTAACGAGGACATCGATTAAAAGCACCGGAGAAAGGGCTTCACTTCCAAACACCACGCGTTGTGACTCGCTGTCTGGTTTTTACATCAGCAGTGTTTTTGAAAGTCTGAAATGAAAGATTAAGGTCAAGTTTAGTTTGCTGAAGTTTCACTCAAACGTTGAACCGACATACTTGTGGTTAAAATGTTGTGGTTCAGTTTGTGCTTATATTTAATTCTTATTTTCGTTGCCGGAGTCCAGTCGGGCTCCTTCATGGACCTATGAAGACAAAGACAGTCGTCGTGCTGTATTGAAGACAATGTGAATGCCAGACATCGTTATTCCTTTTGTTGTTTTTTTATTTCCACTAAGGCTTTATTGTTTCATGGCTCTTTCATCTGTATTATAGTTTGTTTATGTTCTTTTTTTTGTTTGTTTTTAAATTGTTATTATTATTATTTCGTCCTGAATTTGTACATTTCTTTTGTATAATTATTCTTCTGATGATTATTTGTCTAGCAAAGTGCTGTTTAGATCTGGTGATGCCATTACCATTGGTTGTTTAGTTGTTTGAAATGTGGTTAACATGAAATAAAGGGACCAAAATGTTGAATGTGAGCTCATCTCTCTCTTTTTATAGCCTCGGATTTTTGATTTGATTTGCGTTTTAAGCGTTTTTTAAGGGATGAAACTGTTGGAAAACATACAAGACACTCCTGTGAATCTTTATGCTGCCATCGGGCTCAGTCTGCACACACACTTTATGAAACTCAGCCTTTCGTCTACAGAAAAAGCCCAGTTCTGGCTCGTGACAGTCTCAAAGTAGAGTTACACTTCCCCTAACAAAGGTGTCACAATCCATCCAGGTACCTTTCTTCAACCGGGCCACCAACAATGGCCCGCCAGAACCAGTAAGAGCTTTCCCAGCCGGAATCTTTGTGTTCTAAAAACGTTGCGAGAAAATTCTGCCAATTCCTGCAAATGTTTTGAGCAGGTCGTGTTCTTTTAGTTCCCAGAATATTCTTCTTAAAAGCAGGATAAAGGTGTTATTTTCGATTTCCATACGTCGCATTGAGAACGTCCTTCCTCTGTTGTCGGGTGACGTTCTGTGAATGTTTCGTAGAAGAACGTTCTCAACAACAACATCCCTAAAATGTTCTCAAACATGTTTGTTAATACATCAAATTATAGGAAAGTTTTATTCAAAAAAGAAACACATGTGGTCCTCTGGGGCCTCGATAACATCGTGAAAACGTTTCTTTAAGGTTGGTTTTAAGAACGTTTGCATCCTCTGATGGCTAAGTTTGTATTAGTTAAATTCTAACACAACAGAAATTATATTTTTGAAGTAATAAATATCTTTAAAATGTTCTTAAACATTAGATTAAAATGTTTTCTCTTAAACTAATATTATTACTTGTTAGCTGATGTTGTGGGAACGTCACGATATTCCTGCTGGGTTTTTTTTTGTTTTTTTACAGCTCTGTGATTGGCCAACGTAGCTTTAGGGTTAGCTTTTACATTTTCATTTAAGCTGATTTTTTATTTTTTTTTGAGAATAAAGAAAGAAGAAAGAACAATGAACAATGAACAAACACATGTGGAGGCTTTAATCATCAGCTACACTAAGGTTTAAATCAGAACATACACATCATACTGCATCCAGCATCTTATTTTTTTCTGTTGCGATTTTGTCGTCATTGATATTGACGAATTCAAACTGTCCAGAAAAAGTCAAATCATGTCCCAAACTGCTTTCCCCAGATCATTCCTGCATCTCTTCGTGGGTAATCCGTCATCAGATGCATGTTTTCAGGTCGTCCACCCCAGTCTGGTGAGTGTTATATCTATTGTACACCAGGAGAGAGTTTCTTCAGATTGGGCCAAACCACCCACGATGAACTGATTAGACTTTAGTGGTCGAAGGTCAGAGGTCACCGTGACCTCACGACTTTGGCCATAACTCAAGAATCCACTCGCTAAACATGACAGGATCCCACACAGATGTCTGGCGGCATGAAATGATGACGCGGTGACATTTTAGACCCAAAAGGTCACCTTCGCTGTGACATCATAATGTTCTGCTAAAACACCTCCACGGTCGTCTTTCAACGCGATAAATCACCGGCGGAGACGTGAGCGTATTTCACATCGGGTCAGGTGCCGAATTGGTGATTTGTCATGTTGGGTGCTGACCTATTAAATTCCTTTCAGAGTCCTCGTGAGCCCGGACGGACGTGGACGTAAACTTCACCGGCAGCCATCCAGGTATTGAAAATCTCAATTTTAAGCTCCAACACGTGACGCCGTGTTGTCGTACTATTAAACAAAAACCCAGTTAAAAGTTGTTCTTTACTATATGATCTGGTTCTTGATCTGTACTCGTCACTGGA